CGATTGACTGGTTCTGCGCCATTATAACAGTATATTATAAGGATGGAATGTCGAAGGCTCAATATCGATTCTCTAGCACTTAGGCGCATCAAAAAAGATGTTATTTTCATCTTTAAATTAATTTATAGAAATATGAATTCTACCCCCTTAGTTTTTTTTATTCATTGATATTTACAACTGTATCCAAAAAAAAAATACATCTAGTAAATGTGCACACAGTAATAATACAATCACATGAAAACGCTTGTTGAGAAACTACCCATTGGCAGCACTCTAATAATATATTTACATAAGTAGATCACGAGGCCTTTTCAGACACCTCGGAGAGTTATCAGGGATCGAGGAGGAAACAAGGTTTGAAACGAGTGGGTTCGGATGGCTCTGGAGTTTGTAATGGAAGGATAGGTATCTGGATTGGGCCAAATCGGAAACAAATGGAACATTAAGATCTTTATGGATGATTTTATTTGTGACAAAGTAAGGAGCGTTGAGGATTTTACGAAGGATTTTGGATTGTAAGGATTGAATACGAGAGGAATTCGATGGCTTAGTGCAGCCCCAAAGTTCAATTCCGTAAGTCCAAATAGGTCTTATTATTGTCATATATATGAGTCGTTTGTAATTGATCGAAAGCTTAGAGCGCTTGTCTAGTAAGTATTGGAGTAGTCTGTAGTTTCTTGTCGTTTCAGTCTAGTATGAGGATTCCATGTGAGTCGTTTGTCCAGGTGGGGTCCTAGGTAACGGATTTGTTCAACTGGGATAAGTGGGGAATTGTTAAAGAATACTGTAGGACAGGAGGTCATAGGTTTACGGCGAAGGATAAATTTAATTTGATGTGATTTATTGGAATTTATTTTAATTCTCCAGTTTTTACTCCATTCGGATTCAGCGAAGTGCTAATTTATTTCCATCCTACATAGATTTCTTTGACAATTCGAGGCCTTGGTTTGAAAAGATTCTGACTAATAAATTTGGGCTCGTTAAGTTAACTGAGTGAGAAGGGTGCCACGCGTGTTATTCAACTCTTCTACTTAAAATGGCCATTAATAATTGATATTATTGAAAAAATCAATATTTTTCTCTACTACGCAATACATTTTATATGAAACATGAAAAGATGAGTATATTTTTTTTCTAAAGATCAAATTCATATATAATTTCTAGCGTTAAACGATAGTTCTGTTTAAGGGTGATAAATATTCAGGACGCAGTCTTTTTAAATTTTTTTTATTTATGCCAACGTTTCAAACCAAACATGTGGGTCATCTTCAGGGCGTGGTTTGAGCTGACATGTTTAGGTTGAAACGTTGGCATGAATAAAAAAAAATTTGAAAAGAATGCTTCCTGAACATTTACCATCCTTGATATGTAGAACAATCGACTAACTTCCTTCAAGATAGTTCTATTTATTTTTTTATAAAGTAGAAACTATCGATGGTAAAACATCGATATTTCTACAATATCGACTATCTATGGCCATCCCCAGTATATTTATAATTCTTGTTCAGTTTTTTATTTCTATACATATTCCAGCCACTTTTCCACTGTATATAACCTACGGTCAATTATGTCTACAAATCGTTATAATTACAATTGTTCATATTTTTCGTTTAATAATTGCTCCTGATGACTTTAATCGATACAAATAGGTACGGCCGGTAGAACGAAAGCGCTCCCTAAACCAGCTCGTTGTCCCTTTGTTAGTGCATCTTACTAATGGGACTTTGATCCGGCTATAGTTAATTTATCAGCTGACGTTAAAATTAATTGTTTGCGGAAAGCTGTGTGTGTCATTTCCATTCCAGCCCCATTGTTTACGAACCATTTATCTTAGCTGTAATCATTTCGTGGGGATGACTCTACCATAATGTGTTATTGTACAAAATTTAAACAGAACAATAAAGTGTATATTTGTGATGATTTAAACATATTTAGCGGATTTTAAAAGAAATTATATATATGATACAAGAACAAATCTCTCAAGTTTTACCTGAGCTATATATATATATATTTTATTTTATTTTGTATGTATATACTGGGTGTTCCTCTTCTATTCCTTAAATCCCTCCGATGCGCCTGAAAAGAAGATGGCCTCGGGACCTTTTTTGTCGATAAAATATCATAGTAATAAAGGAAGGATATGGTCCGGGGTAGCGGCCATAAATAGGCCAAATAGTGGCAAAACTATTTTATTAAAAGGCAATGTTTTGTACCGACTTTGATGGTCTTCTTCAGGACTAGAACGGACAAGATAAAAAAAATATAGAGAATTGTGGAAGTTACATAATATTATGAAAAAAAAAAAAGATAAACAATGTGAATAAGCTTATTAAAATTATAAACTGTACAATAAAATATAAACAGAGTAAGCTAAGTAACAAGATCCTAAACTGAAGTAAATAGATGGTAATAATTGTTACCATTATTATAGTGTAATATATAATATATGCAAATGTGAATATACTACAGATATACGGGAGAGATTAATAATCTTATGCATAATTTTTTTTTTCTAACTATTTTGTAACTTCCACAATCCTCTATATTTTTTGTATATTGTTCGTTCTAGCCCTGAAGAAGACCAACAAAGTTGGCTTTTAATGAAATAGTTTTGCCACTATTTAGCCTATTTATGACCGCCACCCCGGGCCCATCTCCTTCCTTTATAATGCAACGGTCAACTATTAAATATTCAATATCATAGTAATAGATTGTCTTCAAAAAATATTTATTTATTTTTTGTTTGTTTTTTTAGAAAAACGAACGCCAGGACATGTTTTTAAAAATTGTCTATGTGGAGCTATGTGTGGAAAGTGCGTTACACATTTTACAAACTACGTGAGAAATAAATATATAAATGGTTATTTCACAATGCTAGTATTTTTGTTTCTTGTTTTTGATATTGTCCATCTGCTATCAGTATCAAGAGAAATATAAGATAATAGTTAATATATAATAAAATAGTTTAATTTAGTAGCTATTGTCAATAGTTACGCTGTTAGTCAAGTTAGATAATTGTGTTTCCCATAGTTTGTGAAATGTCTAAACGCACCTTTAAACACGTTGACCATGACTTTTCTTCATTTCAATCGATTTCAAATTTAAAGTATAGATATTTCTAAGCACCCCAAGCGGTAATATTCCATACACCAATATTGACAATTTAGTTCTTAATTAAAACTTTTTTAATTTCTTTTCTTTTAATCCTTAGCACTTAAAGTTTTTGTCATAAAAGTTGATACGCAATCCTGCTCAGGTGAATGGAGGGGGGAGGAGGCGAGGTATTAAAACTATTTAAACGGCCTTTGAAGTCAAACTCTCTCCCCCCTCCCAACCAAAAACATGTCCCGTCTAAATTTCATGGCTTCAAAGCGGTTCATTACTCACTCTTCAGCCTACTCTGAACTTCTCGACCGTAAGAAATTTAGTTTATAATTTAGTGTATGAATATATAAATTATATATTATAAAATATATAATTTAATAGTCATTGATTACGGTAGTAATCAATAATAAAAACAATTTTTGAAACAATTAATAAAGATAATTTTTTGATAGTGATATCGTTTACCATATATGTACTAGAGGACATGTTTCAAGGTGGTTCAGGGAAAATGACAATGAATCGCTGCTCAAGCGCTTGGACTATATTCTAAACTTAACGCCAATCCCGTCAATGGAATCCATCAATTGATAGAATATTTACATGCATTATATAATAATAATAATACTTTATTTATTTTGGGATGAGTCTCTTTAGAATAATACAGCAAGACAGAAATGTGGGCTAAGGAGCCTCAGAGATACATAAATAAAAATACAGAGTAATTGAATAGTCTTAGTTTTGTAGTAGTAATTTTGATCAGTTAATAATAAAACAAAATGGAGTAAAAATAATGAAGAATGAACTAATAATTTATATACATATTTACAGTAGTATCGTATCTATTTACAATTACAATTTATATTATTCGATATACTATTTTTAAAAGAAATATGTCGCTACTGCTTGTGCAAAAGAGCGTGTGTAAAAATTGAGTTATTTTTACACAAGAGCATAAAAACTGATTATTTCTTTATGCTTTATTAGTTAAATTTTTTTCCTCTGCTATTTTCTATCGTAGCAGACTACTTATGACAGCAGCATACTAAAAAATGTCATATTTAGCACTAATAGAATAAACGTGATAAATTGTTACATGCGACATCATACAATCAATAATTTAGAATTAATTATATGAAAGGTTCTCAAATATATTTAAATAAATTCATTATCCTTATTAATTTGTGTTCTTCTTATATTTAACCCACAGTTTCAGCGTATTAATTAGTTTAATTACTTTTTGAAATATTAAAACATTACGACATATCCTTAATATAGCTTTAAATAGTATTTCTTCTACTAAAAACTTAAAAACTCATTCGGTGAAACAATTTAAACAATTTAAAATTTTACAAAAATGAATTATCACGTTAAATTTCCAGAAAGACGCGTTTAATCAAATCAACGTCATAGTATAAGAAATTTTGATTGGATAGAAGAATTTCACACTGGTACAACCTTTTTTAAAAATTATTTGACTTCTGGTTATTGGAATGGTACATAGGATTCTACCACAGAAACTGAAGATAATTTAAATAATACATATATATATATATATATATATATATATATATATATATATATATAAACTTGTAGGTTAGGATATCACTTTATTAGTAATAATAAAAACAAACAATTCGATCACAAAATTCCTACTTTATTTATTTTTCTATACCAACGTTTCAGCCCTTAGGCCATTCCCAAGAGAAGAAACCTGTAACAAATAAAACAAACATCAACAAACAAAAAATAATTTAACTATTTTTTTCGGCTAATTTTTTTTCTGAAAATGATGCCTTATAATAAGCCTAGGCGTAAACAGATTAAAATATAATTAGAAAATATGTACTTTCATTAAAAAAAATATATTTTTTTATTTTATTTATTTTTTGTTTTAGGTTAAAACTGGAGTGCGAAAAGTTAGCAAGTGATAAGACTGAGATGCAAAGGCATTATGTTATGGTAAATTTATATATTTATTATAATGTTTTATTTATTTTTTTGTAATTATAAATGTTATGACTGACATATTTTCATGTTACGTTATTTTTTTTCTTTCAGTATTATGAAATGTCATACGGGTTAAATGTAGAAATGCACAAACAGGTAGGTTTTAAATATATCTTTCGTAAAAAAAAATATATATAATATTATTATTATTATTATTTATGTTGATTGTTATGTTTTAGACTGAAATCGCTAAAAGATTAAATACTATAATCGCTCAGGTTTTGCCGTTTTTAGCTCAAGAGGTAAGTTAATATACATATTTTAAATTTATAATTAATTCTATGATTATTTTTCTATTTTTCATTAAAGTTCGTTCATCTATTTTTTTTAAGGTTTTCCCAATCAATTTGTGAATTAAATACCACTAAAACTTTCACTGAAAGCTATAAAAAACAATTTTGAAAATAAAGTAAGTTATATAAAGGCTTATATAATTTCTCCGAGTGGTAGTTTATTTATGTAAGGTTATTTTTTGTTGAATTTATTTTCCTTCGAAGTTGCAGTAGGTTCAAATGTTGAACAAATAGAATATTTTAAAAACGTAATATTACAATACAATTTAAATTTTTTATGACAAAGCTTAAATTATTGTGTATAGTGACTCGTCAAGCTCAATTAAAATAACTCAATATATTTGCAACTTCGTTGTTTATAAATATAAGTTATTGAAATCCTTGGATTTATTTCTGGGTAATTGTGTATTCACTGTGTTCGCATGCGTGTGTTACAAAATTTATGATCACCTTTGTGACATTTAACAAATTCAAATAATTGATATAACAATAACAAATCTATACGTTAAAATTTATAATTCCGTGAAAATTTCAGTGGGTTTTCTTCGCTAATGTTTTCACACTCGCTTTTGAATCCTTCAATATTGATGACAGGCCTCTGTTGCAAAAAGGCTTCGCGAGAATTATAAATAAAGAGTTGTATACTTGATTATTCAGGTGCTTGTATCGATTTCTTGAAATATTTAAAAGACTCGATTAAGAATGAATTATTTATTCAATTAGCCAGGTTTGCACAAGATTTTTTATTAACAAGAAGTAATTCGCAAAAGTTATCATTAATATATATATTTTTTTAATTATCACCTTATAGGGTTTAACGATCTTAAAAATGTATCTTCAGTAATTATACTTTTACATAAAAATAATATATTAATAAAATTCTTTACATTTTCCGGGAAATAAGCAAATCTATGGATAAGTTACTTAATGTTAAAAATAGTGTTAAAACAGTTTCTCTATTTACATTATACGTAATTAATAAATTAATATGTTTGACTGTACTTTTATATATATATATATATATATATATATATATATACTTTTATAATGGTATGAAGATGGTTGGGTTGATCTTGATTATAATATGAAAAGAAGTTAGCCGGCGTGCTGTCAAATTAAATACTATATATTAAAATTGTATTTTATTGGTTACACCGACGTTTCGACCCAATCTGTAGGTCAATCAGGGCTACAAACGATACAAAATAAAATAAATTAATTGGTATTTATTTAATAACTACTAATAATTCATTTATTTTATTTTTTAATTTGCACCAATTTAATTTTGTACATTTCGTAGCCCTGATGAAGACATACAAAGTGGATCTAAACGTTGGAGTAACCAATAAAATACTATTATAATATATAGTATTTAATTTGACCACGTTCCCGACCAACTCCTTTTCATAAATCTTTTGTAGTGTAAAAAAATGTATATCGTTAGTGTTAGTGCAAAAGGTTATTTGTAAAATTTGAGTTTTTTTTGGAGGGGAAGAGCATAAAAAAATCTATTATTTCTTTATGATTTATTTTAGTATTATATTATATTTTATTTTCCTCTGCTATTTTCCTATTTAGCAGACTCCTTAAAGCTGTGGGGGGGGGTGGCTGAATGGGCTAACCCGTGTGCACAGCACCACCGTTGCCCGGCAACCTGATATATGATATAAAAATAGTCACGAGTTCCCGTCCCGGTGCCAAGGCATCTTTTAGATCCCCGCCCACACCCTCTGGCTCGGGAAAACCCCGTATAGCCTTAATGGCGAGGAAGGGGAAGATCCAAAAAAAAAGACTCCTTAAAGCAGTTAGTGACTGACTACAAAATGTCACCTTTAGCGCAAAGAAAATAATCATGTGAAATACTTACATACCACCTTTTGTACTAAAAGTAGCGATGTATTTTTTTTTTTTTTTTAATCTGTTAGCATTACAGAGCTTGTTGTTCTTTTACAGAGTTAACCAGTGTTCCCCATTTCTGTCTATCTATCTTATCTATCTATCTGATATATACTTTATTATTTCTTAAAGGCTTTTTTTTTTTTTTTTGTACATTTTATATTTTTTAATAATTTAGAAAATCTCATGATCAAAGCTTTATTTTGAATATTACCTTTCCAGTAATTGTTTAAAAATGGGCCTTGCCAAAGAATTATGTACAAATATTTCGGTCTATTATGTTAATTGGAATATTGTATCCTCCCTCGCATAATAAATAGGATCTTCATATTTCCATATTGTTTTGCTATTCCTTGACTGAAAAAAATTGTCTGCCAATTATTCTCATGGGTCAACTAGTTAGATTAAATTAGCGTTGAAGAAAAGTAGTGAGGACAGAGTTTTGAATAAGATTCTTTAAGAACATTTCTTTATAATTATCTCCATGCTCTTTGTTGATCTGGTTTTTGCCCTTCCACGTGGTCTCTTGCCTCTTATTGGGGCATCCATTGTTGTGTAGAGGCTTACTGATGGATTGCTCAGAGCTACCTGCCCCGCCCATCTTAACTTCCTTGCCTTCATATCATTATATATTGCTTGGCCAGTTCTTTATAGGTCCTTCTCATCTATGCGTTAGTACTCTCATCCGAGATCGATTTTGTTATCGTGGGGAGGCATTTTTTCTCAAATCTTTCAATACGTCTTTCTAGGGTGCTGGTTAGTGTCTAGATCTCATAGCCATATATCATTAGAGATTTCTTAGTATTTTTTGGAATTTCAATTTTTTAAAGAGTGTAGAAAACTCAGTTTACGATTCTTGTACAGTGTTCTATTCCCAACCATTGGTCATTCATTGAGGTTTATGTGGGGCCATGTATTTGTAAAAAATATATATACTTTAATAAATATGTTATAAGTGGACAATGCATTGGTGGTTGGCGGATCTGAGATATTCCCCCTTGCCCCAGTACAGAGCTGTATTAATCTCCATTAAAAGCATGCAGGGGAGTTACTAATCTGTTGAAGACCCCATTGCAACAGCTGAGGGAGCCTAAGTAATGGGCGAGGGCTGGCTGCTTTGTGGCGGCGACAAAGGCATCATCTCCCGGCCTCCTCGTCCAACATCAATACCCTTCCTCTCTGTCTTTGTCTTCCCTCTCTCACTATCTCTCTTATACTATTCCATCTCCAAAATATATCATATATTATATTAAGTGTGCGTATGAAATTATATAGAAAAGAGCTCACGAATATGTGATACTTTTATTTTCAATTGATTACTTCCAAGAACTTTTAATTTTTATTCTTTATCTTGTATATATATATATATATATATATATATATTTTTTTTTTTTTTTTTTCCACGAACCGGTCAGCAAGGACCACGCAAATACCATTTCCGTTTTCTCTTCACACCCTCAGCCTTCCTCTTACACCAATACTCTCTCATCCTCCTGGACTGTTCCTTAGTCCATTTTCTCCCTCGTCTCTCCCTCTCACCTACAAGAACCTTCAACTCCTTTCAGTTTTTCTCTGAAAAGCTCTCTATCCAACAAATCTTTATCCGTGACTTTTAGCCTGTCTAGTTCCTCTTTTATTGGTTTTTCATATCCCTCCATACTTTTATAGCTGCAAACTTTGTCAAAAATTTTTTTGTTCATTCTTTCACTATTCATCCTGACCATGTGCCCGTAGAACCTCAGTCTTTCGATCCTGACGACTGTTTCCAAATTTCTGTATGTTTCTTTATTGGATTCTTTATTTTATATATTTCTTATAAATTATTTCTGAAAGGTTTTTTTTTTTTTTTTTTTTTTTTTTTTCGCAACGTCATAACTTTGTCAATTCTTCGTCAAATCAAATGATTGAGCCCTCATTTTAATATCTTCTTCAACTTCAGGTGGGAAAAATGGTCACATCCCTCCGAAACTTAGAGAAAAACGTTATTTGGGAAAAGAAACTTTATTTGTGAATAACTCAAAAAGTATGCATTTTTTTCTGGATTGTACTCATCGTAATTAGAAATATTATTAAATTACCTACAAAATAAAACAAATAATTGTAAAAATGGGACAATTATTAACAAAGATATAGTCCATTATTTTTGGTATATTTAATCATTTTTTTTTCTGGCTGATATATACTTTGTTATTTCTTCATGGCATTTTTTTTTTTGTACATTTCATATTTTTTAATAATTTAGAAAATCTTATGATCGAGGCTTTATTTTGAATATTATTTTTCCTGCCATTGTTTAAAAATGGGCCCAAGGAAAGCAATTATGTATAAATATTTCGTTCTATTATGATTATTGGAATATTGTATCCTCCCTCGCATAATAAATAAGATCTTCATATTTCCACATCATTTTGCTATTCCTTGACTGAACAAAATTTTCTGCCAATTATTCTCACGGACCAACTAGTCAGATTAAATTAGCGTTGAAGAAAAGTAGTGAGGACAGAGTTTTGAATAAGATTCTTTAAAGTACATTCATCATCTGCTGAAGGCCTACGCCAATTCTTTAGAAATATATTCAAACTTCTGAAAACCACTGAGCCGTTTAATGTTTCGATTCGGAACTCTTTGATAACAAACCTCTTGATAAGTTTGTTTTGAAAGCGGCCTATCCCGAAGTATGGCCGCTCTTGGATAAAAATCTGATTCAGAAGAAACCTTGGACTGAGTCAAGCATCGCTCTGTCATGGATTGTCGTTAGTTCAGAATTTTTAATTAATCTCTTGAAACGAATCCTGAAAGTTTAGGAATAATTCATAATTTATTCTTGACTTTGAATATATCCTCTTTCTTTTTTTTATTTTCTCTTACTATTAGGTCATCAATAATTTGCCATAAAATTGTAAATGTTTAAGGATAATGAAGAGTATTGTTCATCAAACAGATCTTTTCTAATTTTCTAACATATTTATTCAATTCCTCAAGTTTCTAAAATAGACACATTCCGTTGATACTTTAAAACATTGCTTATTTGCATTTTTTTTTTTTTTTTTTTTTTTTTTTTTTGTGTTATGCTGTTATGTCTTGGAATAACATAGCACTTTCACCTATAGTACATGAATTTCTAATCTATCCGGCTTAATTTTTCTAACAGCTACTGGAATTAAGATTACAATTAATATTTTTAATTTTTAACTTGTGATATATGTAGGTCTACTTTTTGTTTCGGAAAGTCTTTATTGAGATTTATTACGGTCTGTCACATCTAAGGACAATAGTAACAGAGATGAAAGAGTAACTAATTCACACTATATAAAATAAATAAAACCAAAATCATAATACATAATGAACAATAAATAATACTAAAAGTAAATTTATATAAGCTAAAATAAACTAAACTAATCAAAATAACTACTTAATTACACACATGCTTTTATTCAATATATACAAAATTCATTCACTCAAGATTCCGACCCAAGCCTTTCCCACCCACCACTCGTGGAAGGGAAGGCAGAACTCTAGGAGATTCCAGCGCCTCTCATTCAGGCTGATATTGACTAGTTTTTATTGGGTGCCTAACTTCTTCACTTCTCTGTTCTATTTCCCTCACTCTTCCACGGTTCGACTTTTACTAGTTGGCATAAATATATATTTTTGGCTAAATTAAAATCGATGTTAATCATAATATATGTTGATTATGTTTCAGCACCAGCAGCAGGTGGCAACAGCGGTTGAGCGTGCCAAGCAGGTTACAATGACTGAGCTCAACGCCATTATTGGGGTAAGAATTCCCTCATATCATGTCTGTATATATCTTGTCTATACATGTTGTATGTATGTTTGTAACTTATCTACCCTTAACACGATATGTTTGTATGTTTACAGCAGCAGCAGCAACAAGGTCTCCAGCAGTTACTGGTGAGTTATCGTTGAGTAAATAATTTTTTTCATGTCTATATCATATATATAAGTGACTAAAATATGATAATTATCATTGGCCAATATCTTAAAAAGTGGATAACGTTTAATGTGAACGTACAATCATGATACAGTGCCTCTCTTCATCTTATTGTTTAAACACTTGTTGAACATTCAAGAATTATTCCAAATATATATATAAATAACTCATGTTATTCCCCGATCGCTTAAAAAATATTTTTTATTCTAAAGAAATATTTTTCTAATTAAATTATATGTATTTCATTTAACAGCACGGACTACAATCTTATAGTCTGTGCGGTTTGTTTTAAGCCTTAAGTATTACTTTTTTGGAATATTTAATAGTTGACCGTTGCATTATAAAGGAAGGAGATGATATGAACGGTGTGTTGCAACGTAAAAGAAATTTTAGGAATTAAAAAATAAACGACTACTGTTGGAAAAACAAGCCAAATATTTGCTTTGCACTAGAGAGAAAATTATGAAGACAAAAATGGTTTGTCAGCAATGTAAGAGACCTACCTGCAAAGAAGACTTTTTGCTTGGATTGTTGTGGTCACATAAATGGTCCCCACTTTAGGTTTTATTATTTTTTTAAGTAAAAAAATATTTTTTTCCTTTATTATGTATATATATATTACATTCCAAATATATATATTTAATTGCTATTTAATATATATATATATATGATAATTGATCCTTTTTTGATTTTTTAGAGATGTAAATGATAACTTTTTACTAAAGGAAGGAGGTGATCCAGGGTTGCGGTCATAAATAGGCTAAATAGTGGTAAAACTATTTTATTGAAAGCCGACGTTTCGGCCCGACTTTGCAGGTCTTCATCAGGGAGGTGTGTTCATCTAGGAGTTTCACTTAGAACTGAAACTCTATGTTCTAAGTGAAACGAACGTCGGCCGTCAATAAAATAGTTTTACCACTATTTATTCTATTTATGACCGCAAACCCGGACCATCTCCTTCCTTTATTACTTTTTTTTAAATATCTCTGTTATATAAATATCTGAGTTTGAAATACAATTTTAAGATATATTTTAATCAATTTCGATGTGACTGGAATTTATTTACTTATTTCTCTTCTTTTTTTCGTTAGTTAACATTTCATTTGAAAGAATCTTATTCAGCCAGAATGTCGTTCTAAAAAGTGGTGATAAATAATAGCTGTATTTAAGGTAAATAATATATCGTTTAACGTTATCTGTTTTTTTTGAATTAACAAATAGGGAGCGGAAAAGGTTAGTAGGTGAACTCTGACTTCCAGAGCTGAAGGTGAAAGATTCGAATCCGGGCTGATGACTAGTAATTTTTCATCAGCCGTGGGTCGACTCTGAGGTCGGGAGACCCTCCTAGGGCAAACCCAGCCTCTATAAAGTGGGTACTATTAATTATATAATTAATTAAGGGGGAAAACCTGGCGGTTAAGCGTGATGTTGGTCCGTCATCTCCCTGCACTATCGTTGGCTTTGTAACAGTACTTCCTCACATTGTTCTGAATCCATAACCCTTCATGGGATGTTAGCGGTACAGTTTTTTTTTTTTTTTTTTTTTTGATAAATAAATAAATGTAAAACTTTTATTTAATATTATCCTGAAATCCAATCAATTTAAACTCAATTTATCAAATAATTTTTCAAGATTAGGTTTAAATTGATCGCAAACACTGATTATATCCAGAATTGTACGGAACAATTAAAAACGAATAAGGTGGTAAATTATTGGATACATTTTTTTTGGCCCGTATAACCTTCAACTAAAGACATCTCGTGGGGACCATTAATATATTACTCAATTAATCATTCATTTTCTGCCTTGTCACTACCTGAGGACTGCCCCTACTAACACCTGTACCAGGTGTGAGGTTACCATTTGTTCCACGGTACAATGTTCTTAATACCAAGCGGAATCCAAAGCTGAACGGTTGCCTAATAGTTAACACAAAATTGACAGTATCATATGTATGTATATATATATATATATATATATATATATATATATATATATATATATATAATTATTTTATATAATGCGCGGTCGTAAGTATAGTAAGTCGTCAGTGGAAGATAGGGTTGCGTTTTCTATCAGTTTTGGAACCCCTATAACACGATTATGCAAATTTTAGAGATGTCAGTTTAATATATGAATTTTTTTCTCACTTCGTTTCGACTTCCCCCGTCGCTTCTGCTGGCCTGTCGGGCCAAATTAGAGTTGGGGTTCCGAGGGAGAACAATAATATTAAACTTTAGAAACATTTTCGCTTGTAAGGTTTATATTATTGTTATAATAGTTTTTCACGTTTTTAAAGTATTGCGCATCTCCATAGCTCCTCCTAATAAAATTGGAAGGTTAAAATTTTTTATGTATATCAAGTTGGTATTGGATAGATGCCTTTGGGGGGGGGGGCTCTTTCGTCACACTAGACCCATACTTTCCATTTCGATTGGAGGGTGAAGGGAGAAGGCGAGTAGAAATAATGGCAGTAGTTCTTAGTATGTGTATTTATTGTGAAACGAGCAAATATAATATTGAACATATAAAAATAAATTTATATATATTAAAAACCGTTGAAAAATATGTTAAACCGTTAAAAATGTAATAAAAACGGAAAATATTTTTGATTTCTTATTTTCTTCAACCTTAAGGTAAAAACAAAATGTTTTCGCAAGCTAACTATTTATGTAAAAATCTCTATAAACTATATTTATTCTAATACTTATTAAATATATTTTTTCAAATTTATCATAGAAAATTTATTTTAAAAAAAATTAAGGGGAAATGGAGGTGTACACAGGAGAGGTTAATGAATCATAAAATCCTAGGAAACGTTTCTATATTATCATCCCGGAATATAAATGACAATTTAAATAATATGAATATTTAGGTCGTGATAAAATACGTAGTACCTACTTAGAAATAGAAAATAAACTTTATTCTGGGACGATATTCCCTTAGAATAACAATAATGAACTGTTACAAAAGAAAAAATACACATTTGCCCAAAGACTAACTTAATAAAGATTCAAACAATATATACAACAACTTAAATAATAGTATGTAAATTACTAAAAAATAAAATAAAATCTCCTCAACTATACTTGTAATTTTACTGGAAAAAATAACAAAAAGAAAAAGAAAAAAAGAATTACATGTATAGAAAGAAAAAGCAAAACCCCCAGAAAAGAAAAAATATCAAAAGTACTTAAATAAAAAAAATAATTTTTGTTAAAACCCAAACAGCTAAAGCATACAAAATATATTAATGACAGATGAGCAACGGGATCTCAAGTGGATTATCTCAGCATAGGAATTATAAAAATAAGAATAGAGAGATAAATACAATTAGAAAGGGGCATTAAATTAATTTTATGAGAAAACAATTGCAACCAGAAAGAAAAAAAAACTGATTTAAAGAAAATTAAGTATTTATATATGTTATACTATACGCAATTGTAACTATAAAAAAACACGGAGATTACGATAGAAACTAAGATACATATGTATCCAAATTGAGGAATGTAGGAAATGAAATACGTCTAAAATATACACAATCTTTTAGATAGAAAAAAAGAAAAATATAGGCCTTAGCCTAGATAATACAATTAGGAAGGGGCATTAAATTAATTTTATTAGAAAACAATTGCAACCAGAAAGAAAAAAAAACTGATATAGTTGAATTTTCTTAATCAATTTTAGTTTACATATTGTATTCATTCCTGTATCTTATTGTATTTGTTATTCACTTTAATTTTTTTTTACTTCAAATTAATGGATTGGCGAATCGATATTTTTGCCCCCTCCACCGCAGTCTCCGGCTATCCTCATCACCGTTCATAAAAATGTTTATCGAAACCTTTCCAGTATTAACAAACATTTGACATAGTTTTAGTTTTTAACGTATTTTTTCTATTTTATTTCTGAAATAATACTCATTTCAGCTATTTCGGAAGTCGGCAGTTGAAGGCGGGGTTGTGTTTTAAATTTGAGGTGAAATTTGCTATATACATATATAATATTGTAGTACAGTTATAATTTTGAATTAATCTGTGTTAAAGAATACATTTTTCAGAGCTTTTTTTTTGTTCGGTGTAATCTAATGCCTGTCCAAAGAAAAACAAATAAATAAAATTTATCATTTTCTAGAAACGGGTCTACCATAACTGCTTGCGTTCTCAACTATTCTCTCGTCTCGTGTATCAGTTGTAACAATTCTTTTCTCCCCCACTCTTAGCGGATCTCTGCCGTAAATCTCTTACAGAGAAGCATCGATACAATTGATTGAATAAAGCAAACGGATGAATATGAAAAGAGGCGTTAGATGAAAAAAAAAATCCCCATAAAGAGAGAATGGGCGATCGAGGACGCCGTTTGATGAATCGCCGGGTGAAACAAAGACAACAAACGGTGGAGGTTCAAGGCTCGCAAATGGGAGGGTTCTTCGCCGGGCTGTAAAAGTTTATCGCTTCCAGAGAACTTTAATGCCTCGTATAAAACAACCCATCCCGCCGCCTTTCTTTAAATGAATCCCATACTGTTTAATATTTCTTATCGCTGTCTGTGGGGAAGGATTGAAAGGAAGGGGTCCTTCCAGGGGGAATAGTTCTAGGATTTGATTTCACTCTGTCTTCTCTTCGAATCCTTGGCTGAAGAAGTTCTCGTCCTCTTTAGATAAAAATTAATTTAGTTAGTTCATATTAATCAATCGCTTAGAAATATATTACCTTGAGGCAGTGTTGCCTCTCCTCATTACCAAATCCTCGTATATCTTCGCACCCATTCTCCTTGAAATGCCGTACAATTAGTGTATGCTCAACGTAGCTGTTTTTTTACATCATATCTTATTAGCTTAAATCAAATACATTACAAACCTTTTTCACTTTTTTTTTTTTAATGTCAAGAAAGAAAATGATTAAACACATCATTATTAGCATTACACGCCCAGTCTCTCATGGAGATTTATTTGTTTCATCTAATGCCTTTTTGCGTTCATAATCGCCTGTTTGCTTTATTAAATCAATTGTATCGATGTCTATTTAGAATAGATTTCCGGCTCAAATCCGAAAAGACAAAAGACCAATTGAAGAATTCAATCAGTTATGGTTGAAAGAAATACAAACCATAGGGTTAAAACTATTTTGAAACATTTTTAAAAGTTCCGTTTTAACAGAACTTTCTTATGAATAAAATTTTTAGAGTTTAGTGTAAAAATTGAACATTTTATATAATTAATTAATTTAAAAAAAAGGTACTTTAAATGAGATATAAAGAGTAATTTAACTTGAATTTGAAATATATATTTCTTGAATGAATTGTCTGATATGAGAATATTAACAATCTACTTCACAATTCCCATTTTTTAATTTTATTTTTTGTTGCAATGAATTATTTAAAAGTATTTGAATTAATTTATTTTTTTAATACTAGGGGGTACCTCTTATCCGCCTGACGACGGACCAACCCCCATTTTATAAATTATACAACTGTTCGTTGTTTTAATTTCATTAAACACCTACATTATACATCATGCCTATTGGAAATTTTTAATCATAAAAAGGGAGAAATAATTCTGGGAATAAAAAGTGTGGTGTCTTCCTTACGATCCATCCTGCTTTGTATAGGTAAAATGAAAAATGACACGGTCACTCAAAATATTTTTATATAACAGAAAGTTAAGTTCTGTAAAACATTTAATTTAACAGTTAGTCGGAAAAAAGTTCTAGTTCCGAAATAGCACAAATTCGATCAAAAAGTAAAAGTTTCAGTCATATGGAAACTGATTAAAAATTAAAGTTGAATTTTCATTTAAAATCCTGATACAAATAATTGATATGAAAACAATTTTAAAAAAAGGAAGGAGATGGTCCTGGAGTGGCGGTCATAAATAGGCTAAATAGTGGTAAAATTGTTTTATTAAAAGCCAACGTTTCGACCCTTGCAGGTCTTTTTCAGAGAGGTGTGTTCAGCTAGGAGTTTCACTTAGAGCAATCAAAAAGTAGAGTTCTAAGTGAAACTATACACACCTCCCTGAAGAAGACCTGCAAAGTCGGGTCGAAACGTTGGCTTTTAATAAAATAGTTTTGCCACTATTTAGCCTTTTTATGACCGCCACCCCGGACCATCTCCTTCCTTTATAATGCAACAGTCAACTATTTAATATTCAATTTAAAAAAAAAGAAACAATCACAGTTTTATGAAGGAATATAAACCCTTATTGTTAAATGGTTTGTATTGAGGTAAGAGGCCTATATTTTATTTATGTATCATTTTATATATTATGTATTATATATATACTACATGAGGTACGCCCTCTGTGCCGGCAGCAACAGATCCACGCCCAGCAGGTGCCCCACGGCGGCCTGCCCATGGCGCCCCACCCGGCGGGCCTCATCGGCTTCCCCAACCCGCCGCCCCCCCACCCGCTCCTCAAGCCGGCCGACATCCACCCCCAGCCGGACCCCCACAAGCCCCCGCTCTCCGACGACAGGCTGGTGAGTAGTCTTCACTGTATCTATTTAGTTATATAAGTTCATATATCTGTTATATTTATGTAGTAACTAGTGTTGCCCAAAATCGGTCTTGTTCTTACACTTTGCAAGACCAAGACCAACACCGCATATTTGTTGCAAGATGAAGACCAAGACTAGTAAAAAAAAATCGATTTTTTTAATACTAAATTGAGGCAAAATAGTTACTAATACTTGCCAATCTTAGTTACTATATGTTGATAATTGGTATAACCAATATACTTTTGCATTTAACTCTTCTAATTTTTCATTCACTTAGTTAAGTTTCTCATATCTAAAAAAACACAGTAATATCTCTGTAGTAATAAGCTGATAGGTAACTGCAGGACTGTTATGAGAGTCTTGCGCAAGACCAAGACTCGTCTCGGTCTCGCATTTGGGCAACACTAGTAATAACTAAGTTTAGACCTATTAATGTGATTAATATTTGTAATGCATGAGTTAGTAATAGAATGATGATCCACTACAAGCAAGTAATCCACCAATTATATTTTTTTTTATTATTTTCAAAAAGTTAAATATACCATTCACGAAATTAAGAATTTTCTATCTTCAAGACCATCTCTCTTAGCCCTGGATCCAGGTTCCAAAAATCGACATGATCGCAGACAATTGTAAATTATAATATGTAAATCATAATTTTTAAATATGTAAATTACGAAAGTGTATGTTATTTTGAGTAAAAAAAATCTTGTCTGCCATTTCAGAGCCGCTGCTTTCGAAAATGGGGCCAATAATTTGAGGATTGAAACGGGAAATCCATTGCGAAAAAAGTCATAAAAGTTTTTATTTTTTTAACTTGTATATATGGGTTTAGACATGTAAAAAACAAAATTGCTTACGTGGGCCAAAAAGTCAGATTTTTTCGCCTATAACTCCTAAATCATGCATCAAAGAGAAAAATGCACTCTTTAATAAATTAAATAACGTCAAATTTTGCGCCAAATGATAACATAAACTTTATAATTTGGTTACGCGGTAAGGTATAAAACCATGATCAACCAACGCTAATTTTTATCAAAAACTGAGACAAATGATTACAATTGGCCCTGTAACATGGAAATGAGTTCCATTAGAGGAAAACCCCACTGAATCAAACTTGTAGAGCATCAAAATTGCTGAGTTATTTTTGTTAAGAGTATGTTACATGCAGTAAGTCTCTTTTCCACCTCTCAACCACAAAGGATTATGGTAAACGATGTTTCGAAAAATATCAAATTTCATAAAGAAATACCGAATTCCGATTCGAGATATATAATTGGCCTGCAATATAAATATTAGTACTCATTAGACACAAATTTTGATGCTCTACAAATTTGATTCTGTGGGGTTTTCCTCTAATGGAACTCATTTCCAAGTTACAGGGCCATTTGTAATCATTTGTCTCAGTTTTTGACAAATTTGGTTAAAAATAGTGTTGGTTGATCGTGGTTTTATACCTTACGGCGTAACCAAATTATAAAGTTTATGTTATCATTTGACGCAAAATTTAACGTTCTTTAACTTATTAAAGAATACATTTTTCTCTTTGATACATTGTTTAGGAGTTATAGGTGAAAGAACCAAAAAAATCTGACTTTTTTGGCTGCAAACAAGGGTGGCCCGAGTTAGCAATTTTGTTTTTTACATATCTAAACCCATATATATAAGTTTAAAAAATTAAAACTTTTCTCAAATTTTTCGCAATGGATTTCCCGTTTCGATCCTCAAATTATTGGCCTAATATTCTTTAAATCAGCCGCCATTTTTTAAAGCAGCGGCTCTGGAACGGCAGACGAGGTTCGTTTTACTCAAAATAACACACGCTTTCATAATTTACAATCAAACCTTCGCCTGTGATCAGGTCGATTTTTGGGCCCTTGTTCTTGGACTGTCTGACCTCGAAAAGATGTTCCAAAAATGGAAAATTAAAATGAATGACAACTGTAACAATAATCACTAAGCCAGTTTCCTCAATACATTATACACAGTATTTTGGACTATACTTGGACAGAAAACTGACCTGGAACGTACTCAATGAATTAAAAAACAAAACAAGACCTGACCCACCGATATAAACTGTCGCATTTCTTGGACTACAGAAATCTATTTTTTTTTTCATTATATTTGCAACTGCGCTGTAACGCATCTAGCAAATGTTAATGTCATTCGTTCTGTCTTCTATTTCTTTAAAATTATTTATTATTTAGTGAACAGATCTCTAGGCCACTGCCATTTTTAGAAATAGAAATAGAAAATAACTTTATTCTTGGGACAAAGTCCCTTTAGAATAACAAAAAAGAACATAATTAAAATACTACATCTGGCCAAAATAAAACAATAATAAAAAAGAGAAAGTAAAGAAAATATTAGTTAAACAAGCTATATACAAAAAAAAAAAATCTATATACAAACCACTTAAAACTATCATAAAACACTTAAGACTATGTACAGTTGGAAAAATTATAATTATACTCTTTTAAAAAATAAAATAATAAAAAATACATTGAGTTCTTCTTTAAAATGAGGTGTGTTTCTGCTAACAAAGAAAAAACAAAGCTGACAATATAAAATATCAGTGTCTTTAAATAATGATTAATATGTAGACTCATCATTGTCAAATGCTAGAGGTACAGATTTAATTATATACCAATAAAAAATAATAATACAAATAAAAAAAGCAAACAATAGATGCGGTCAGTGGCATTAAGAGCCGGAAAATATTGTAATATCCCTAGTGAAGTTCACAGTATAGAATAGCACTATCGCTTGATGATGACTAGAAATGTATAATATCGAAAGTTTAGCAAGTATCTGACTGTTTTTGGGATAGGAATTGGAAGAGGAGGGATTTGAATGTTATAAAGGAATTCTGAAATGAGGCAGATCTGTGCGAAGGGATGTAGAGGTCAGAAGGTCGAGATCTTGTTGAAAGGGAATGGACTGAGGACTTGAATTGGAGAAGGTTGTAGGCGTAAGAAGGACGATGGTTGTTAATGATTTGATAGAGGAACGTACCTAGGAAATATTGTCTTCTGGAGGAGAAGAGGAGGAGAAGAGTCACCCTAACTCAATGTAGTGGTGAGAGACATGGGAGTACCTCGGGGCACCAATAACAAATCTTACGCAGCTATTCATTAATCTTTTCAGTCTATCACGGAGCTCCACCGAGAGGCCATCATACACCACACAGCTGTAGTCAAAGTGGGGGAAGATGAGGGAGGAAATTAGGAGTCTACGGGTATGTTGAGGTAGGAGATGGCGGAAGCGATGAAATAGTTTAAGGATAGAAATTGTCCTACGGGAAATGTGAGAAATATAGTAGTTCCAGGAGAGGGTTTGATCTATGAATAATCCTAAATTTTTAACAGAGGAGTTGAAGGAAATTGGCTGGTCATTAAGGTGTAATATGGGAAAGTCAGTATGGGATCTAATAAGGGGCTTGGAACCAATGACAATGGACTGAGTGTTGGCAGCATTTAACTTTAATCCATTTACATTTGCCCAGGCACTGATTCGATCAAGGTCTTCTTGAATCTTGGCAAATGCTACCAGTAACTCAGAGGGAGAAAAGGATAGGTAGATCTGGGAATCATTTGCATAAAGGTGGGGGGAACAATGGAGAATTGAATTATGAAGGTCGTTAATGTAAGAGCTGAAAAGGAGAGGAGATATGCTTGAATCCTGGGCAACTCCGGAGGATAAAGGAAGGTAGGCAGATAGTGGTTGATTGGGTATGGAGACTGCTTCGGTGCGTTGGGAGAGGAAAGATTTGAACCAAGAGATGGAACTATTGGAGAAAGATAATGATTTTAGTATGTTGAAGAGGATGGAATGGTTGATGGAATCGAAGGCTTTGGAGAAGTCGAGGAGTATAAGGACAGTTAATTTTCTATCATCTATTGCAGATTGAATGTCGTTGGTAATTTTAATTAAGGCAGATTATGTGGAATAGCCGGGACGGAAACCAGATTGGAGAGGATCAAATTGGTTGGACTTTTCGAGGAACTTGGGAGACTTGGGATTGCACTAGTCTTTCAAGAGGCTTTGAGAGGTTAGAAAGAATTGAAATTGGACGGAAATCTTCGGGTGAGGATGGATTAGACTTTTTATTTAAAGGAAGAACAATGGTTTTTTTCCAAGAGGTAGGGAATACTGAATTCTGAAGGGAGAAATTGTAGATAAAAAGGAGAGCTGGAAGGATTTCAGGAAGACCCTGAACGCTTGGTAGTCATCTGCGAGCCTAGTACACCTAAAACGTCTTCGGGCAGCGTCGCGCTTCTTCTGCAGATCTTTGATTTTCTGACACATTCAAGGATCAGGCCGGTGACGAAAGGTAGAGGTTTTGAGGGGAGCATGGGTATTGAGAATATTGAGAAGATTGGTGGTAAGAATGTCAACCATGGAGTCGATAGAAGAGCAAGCATATATTCCATTCCAGTCTAGGGTTTCTAGGTCAGGTAATATTTTTTGTCGAGTAAGGGTATCTAGGTGACGGAAGGTGATAGTTCGAGGCTGGATTGAAGGAGTTCGGATATTATATGTTATTTGTATAAGATCGTGAGATGATAGGAATGATACTGGCAATTGAGAAGAGGAGAGGAGATTTTGTGCAGAGTCTATAATGTAGAAGTCTAGCCAAATGTCGGACCTGCTGGTGTGGTGAGTGGGGGAAAATGGAACGATGAAGAGGTGCAGAGAGAAAATTAGGTTTTCTAGATAGGATTTGTCATTGGAGTTAGAGAGGAAATTGGTATTGAGGTCACCAGAGATGATTATTCTGGGATATAGAGGAACGAAGTTGAATAGGCTTGATTCAAAGGACTGATCAAATGGTACATGGGGAGGACGATATACCACTGTGTAAAGGAGAGGAAGATCCTTGCAATGGATTTCTACTAGAAGATATTCAACTTGAGGATGATCGGAGGGTGGTGAGGAATCGAGGATTCGAGTCTTCAGACTATTATGGACAAACATGGCTA